TTGCTTACCATAACAGTAAATATACTTTTCCTTTTTTTCTTATAGTTAATTATATTTAATATTTAATAGCAACTTCAATTCCCTTGTTTAATTTACTTGCTAATAATAATAAATTCAAATCGCTTTTATTTTGGAGAACTTAATAATCTTTAATTTTAAAAATATTTTTATAATACATAGGAAATGAAGTAATTAGTTACTTGAAATGAACTAATCATACCTACATCGGGATAATCCTAGGCGACTTCAGTTAAAATAACACGTTTTAAGAAAATGATTATATCAAATTCTTATATAATTTATCTGTAATAATCCCTGGAAAATTAACAAGGCCAATGAAAATAATGAAAATCTAAACAATATAATTCGAGAAGATTTTAAAAAAATCACGTATTTTCTTGGATTCCATTTTCTTTTGTGCAAGAAATTGGTAAAATAGGGTGGATTTAATGGACTTTTAAAACAAATATTGTTAAAAATAATAATAAATAATGTTTTGGTTTGGTTTTTTAAACCATTTTTCATTTGAATTAACCCAGCGACTAACTATGCTTTTATTAAGTTCAAAAGTATTTGCCGCTCTAATTATTCTATTTTCCTTAGCATAAGTAACAATTTGTCTCTTTTGCTCAATAGAATATGAATTGCGGCTTCGTTTGAGGGTTTTTTTATTAACAGATATTTGTCTTTTTTGCTTTTGTGGTGACATATTAAGTTTAAAACAAGTTTAAAAACAAGTTCGTGATTGCATTTTTATAAGCTTTGATATAGTTTTACCTTTTCTTGATCGCGCGTGATTTATTGATCATGATATCACGCTACGTTATACAGATGATTATTTTGCATAACGTGATGACGAAATGTTTATTATACATGAAACATTTACAGTAAATGCGCAATTTTTTTGTTTTCTTTTTCTACGAAAGAAAAAGTACCCGAAATTAAGCAACCCTATAGGGTTGCTTAATTTTGGAACGGTACGGTATTTGTGCATGTTAATCCAATTGGTATCTCAACATTTATAAGATTTTTAATTATTCCGTTTTTGAGGTCATCATTTTTCTATCGTACAATTCTAATTAATATTTGGAATTTTTTTCGCTGTAAACTATTTTTTTTCGTATAAATTTAATGAAATATTTTTTTACTATACTTATTTTTTTTGCTGCATTTCGTCATAACAAGCCACCAATCAAGAGTTTATCAAGAGTCTATCTTATTATTATTGATCACAATGTATTTAAAAAGGTCGTTACAGTATTTATATGATCTCAAACTTTTTCAAAAGTGCTCTTAAAACTACTTTCAAAAACTCAAACTTATTTTATCACTTTATAGCAATATCATCGAAATAGAAAAGTCATTCAATTGTTTACTTATAAGAAACACTAACACTTCCCTTTTTCCGGTTGCCATTTTCAAAGACAAAGATGAAAGATTCATAATATTTGGTCAACAAATAATCAATTTAAACGTATTAACAGTTGTTCTCCTCAGGTATTATATCTGTGAGAAGAAAAAAGTTGATAATTCTGATGATATGAAACTTTGGAAAGTTAATTTCGATGAAGAAAGATTAAAAATAAAAATGTATTAACTAGAGATGATATTGTAAAAGGTCTTAACGGAAGTGAAATGAAACCTCAAAAATTATTTATTGAATATTTTCAAGCTGAATTAGATAATCAAGTAAAACTTACAGCGAGTAATATTCACATCATCACTATCACTGGTAAGTGATTAACCTCTCGAATAAAATTTGCATTTATTATATATAGATTTTTGACCCAATGTCATTTTTTTTTAAAAGCACAAAAGCTGCCTGATCAATTAGAATTTCGTAATCCTCATCCTCTTCTCATAGATAGTGATTCCATTTGGACTTTCAAGCCTCAATTGCTTTGAGAGAAAAACTTAAGGAAGCAATTCATGATCATTACAAGTTTTGGAAAGCTAGACAACGTGAAAAAACAAAAATACCGGAATATTTCATTTTAGCAGGAGCTGGAGAAGGTAAATCTCGCACTGCGCAAGAATTGCCAAGGTTATTAATTGAATGTACTGATAGCGATGCCGACTTACAAAATTGCCTTAAAGATGCTCTTGTATTTAATTTATCGTTTAAAAATGGGACTAAACTAATTTGGGGAGACGAAATTATGAGCTCTAAAGCAATTTGTAATCGAAT